AATATTATTATAATTAAATGTATTAATGGTTTATTATTAATATTAAAATAATGAATAGGAAATCTTTATTTTTTAAATGTATTTTATTATATAATAATATTCACTGTTACTGTCTGTCATTGTCTAAATGTATTTGTGCTGTCTAAATATATGTATTCAGCTAGTGTAAACATGCACGATGCTATCACAGCGAATGCGAGGCTGAGACTGAAACTTTACCCTTTGTTTCCGCTGACAAACATGCCACGTGACTCATTTCCCCGCACGTACAAGTTATCTTAGGTCAGCGTTCACGGTTTCACTTCTGAGATTCAGATCGAGCTCTAGGTAATTTTTTTTTCGAACTGGTTGCTTCGACTTTTAAGAAATTCGAGTTCTAATGAGTTTGAGGACTGAGGTACCACTGTATTATAATCAGCACTTTAATGCCTTCTCTATAATGCATTGTAGGTATCAGCTTTATGTGTAGCGATGCATATTTCACTCACGTTTATAATAATATTTCCCAATCAAAAATCATCTCAAACATTACGTTAAAAGTGGTTTGAGCTTCATAGCAGCACCTCCACGTTGACCGATAAAACTAAGTCCACTTGGTTTTATGCTAACATCAGCTAAAGTGTATAGGGCAGGTTTACTACCGTTCCATCTCTGGTGTATCGATCAGCTTGCTATTCCATGAATCCATGTTTAGTGCCAGTGGGTGGTGTGAATTTCTGGATGGATAGACGAGGGGAGTGTAATTACTTGCACTGGATGCACTGTAAATTAAGCTAGTCGATGAGAGTGCTCCTTTACGTTAAAAACTTCAGGTCAGCACGGAGTACTGGCTGTGAACGTGCCAGCAAAAGTTACTGCATCCCCATGAAGGGTCAGCCACTGATGGCTCTGCAGTGAACTGGCACTGCAGAGCTTGCTGCAGGCTGAGGCTCCATTATGTTCATGCCCCCCACACCGAACCACGTTTCTAATTTTGCACCGATTCTGAGTCACAGCATGCTACAATTATCAAGAATCCTTTTTAATGCTAAGGACATGGTTGCCCAGTCAGTAGCTTATGGTTCTGTTTTAAGTCAATGAGGTCACAACAGGAGGAAGCACTCAGTTCAATTTGCAAGAGAAGAGAGTCAATATGTTTTTGGCTTTGACTAATCAGAGCAATCTTATCAGGTATATATTGTAAAACCCCATGACCCATCATCTCCTTAGCAATGACCAGAACACTGCGCTCTACCATTGCAAATGATTATATGCCATTGGTCCGTCAACAATGCAACTCAATCAAATTACCTATAATTGGGTATGAACTCAGATGGCTTACATTCTGATGATCTCACCCTATGTAAAGAATCATCTGGGATCTCTAGTTTCTCCCCACAAACCAAAGACATGTGTTTAAGTGCCGACCCAAACTCTCTATGGTGTTTCCTGCAATGGACCAGCATCCCGTCCATGATGTTCTCCTGCCTTGCACCCTATGCTACCTGCCAAAGCCTCCAAGCCACCCTGGACTGGATAAGTGGTTAGAAGATAGTTGGATGTTAGGATTAGGGTTAGGATTAGGGTTAGGGTTAGGGGTAGAGGTCATATTTTCTCTCTTCTGCCAAACCAGCTTTAATTCTTCTACTGTGATTTGGCTGTTCGTGCTGGACCTCCCTCAGTCAGGCAATAGAGCATCACCTTTGTGTCCCCTGCCCAGGTACCATACCACCACTGGTAAAGACGGTGAATGAAATTACGGACAACATGGTAAGCAACGAGGGTCTGAAGATGATGGTGACCATCTCCTGCATTCTGGTGGGCATCGTCTTGCTGTTCGTCCTTCTGCTGGTGCTGAGGAGAAGGAGGAGAGAGCAGAGGCTGAAGAGACTACGAGGTGGGTGCAGAGGGGCTTTCTGTCCTATCACTCTTAACATAAAGATACAACAATTTGGTTGCACCTCAGTAATATGTGCCTTTTCTAACCCACAGATGCAAAGAGCTTGGCAGAAATGCTAATGAGGTAGGTCTGGTACCTTGACACAAAAAAATCACCAAGGCATGATAACTAGGAGACTATGGTTCCTAGGTGGCTCTACACTGAGGTGATTCATGATGAAGTTACATTGTAAAAGCTTGGTCAGGAGGATCAATGACTCTGGTGTGTTACAGTAAGAACACAAGGACACCGGACACAATGAACAAGCAGCAGCAGACACTTCGAATGCACATAGATATCCCCAGGGCCCAACTTCTCATAGAGGAGCGAGACACGATGGAGACAATCGGTAAGTCCCGCCTCTCTCCACTGTGACACAACCGCATCTCAGCATACCTTTGGCTTAGAGCTTAAAGCAAACTGCTGGACAAAAACAATGTTACTCAAAAGGTTAATGAAAAATGTGATTCCGATAAACAGATGCAGTTTGGTATATTACAAAGTCAGCCTTGTGCATGCGACAGCAACATGCTTCAGTAACCCAGCTTAAAGCAAGAATATCATAGTCTGTGCTCACAAAAGAGTGAGTTCACAAGAACGTTCTTTAATGGAACTTGGGGCCATTTACCCTCTACTTAGTACTCTTTATAGGTCACCCAGAAATATCTTTAATTTCCTTTTTTGGTGTTATCTCTCACATCGCCTCAAAAGGTAAATGCGGACATGGGCAAAAGCATACAAATGAGAAACTGACAAAAATAACTGTCATACACCATTCTTTAGTCTATATAACCCAAACCCTAACTCTAACCTTAAATGCAACCCAAACCCTAACTATAACCTTAAATGCAACCCTAACCCTAACCCGAAGCATTAAGGCAACCCTGACCGTTGGTCTAACCCTTACGGAAATCCTGATGGGATTCAAATCCACTGCAACCCCGACAGTTCTTTTTATTATCCAAAATATATGCAGATCCACAGACTTGGACAGTACCAAATGAAGGACTGCAGACTGTGGGAGTGAAACCTACCAGATTGCGGATTGCATTGATTCTTTTCTTAATCCATAATATTAATATTTTCCCAATGACACTAAATGTGATCTATGTAATAGAATGTGGACATTGCAATAAAAAAATATACTGGAAAAACTAAACATTCAATCCAAATTAGATTCCAGCAACATCTATATAATATTTTCAAACAAAACAAAATGATGGCCTTAGTCACAGTTTGTTACTGTGGGAACTAACCATCTTAGGATCTCAGGTTAGGAAACACAAATACATTGGTTTGGGAGACAGAGGAGTGTTAGGGGCCAGGAATGGATTAATGAAGTTGGTACGTGGGTTCCGGAAGGCTTTAATGTTAATAAATTAAGTTCCATATTTCTTTCTTCTAAAGTCACTTTTCAATCTGCCTGATCCCTAAATAATACATTTACATTGGATGGTTGAAGGTTTTTTTAACCTACCACTTTCTGGAGGTCTAATTCTTTTTAATACCAGTTGATGCAGCTTCGGAAGGAGACATTCCAACCAGCATTCATAATAAAAATGTATATTGTTAATATGTGGTGTGAGATCTGATTAATGACTACCAATATCAGGACTCTTATTTCAGTGTACTCGTTTTTCTCTGGAAAAGTTGGGCTCTGGAACAGAAATGTAAAGGTTCAAGTCTGAAGTGAGATTTGGATTTATGAATAGGTTGATACTGGAGATTATCAGGTTCTCACCATTTTGTGATGCTGTTGATGGTGGGAATATTGCTGTTGTTGCTTTTTTAAAAAAAAAAAAAAGACTCACGAATAGGGGTGTTGCCAATGTCAATAAAAGGTTAGGAGAACAGTTAAAAAAATACTCTAACCTTCACGGAAATCCTAAACCTAACCAAAGGTCTAACCCTTGTGGAAATCCTAACCCTATGGCTAACCCTTATGGAAATCCTAACGCTAAGGCTAACCCTTACAGAAACCATAACCCTAAGGCTATCTCTTACGGAAATCCTAACCCAAGATCTAACCCTTATGGAAATCCTAAACCTAAGTTTAAGGCTCACCCTAACAGAAACCCTAAGGCTAACCCTTACGGAAATCCTAACCTTAACCCTAAGGCCAAGCCTTACAGAAATCCTAAGCCTAACCCTAAGGCTAACCCATACGGAAATCCTAAGCCTAACCCTTAGGCTAACCCTTACGGAAATCCTAAGCCTAACCCTTATGGAAATCCTAAACCTTTTTTCTAGACTGTCCATCATGCAATCTTCTTATTCATTTATCTCTTTGTCAGATGATAGGTCTACAGTCCTGCTAACAGATGCCGACTTCGGGGAGACCTCCAAGCAAAAGTCATCCACGGTCACGCACACCGTGCACTACCAGTCGCTTTCGCAGGCAACAGGCCCGCTAGTGGATGTATCTGATGCCCGACCTGGAACCAGTGAGTCCATGACCCGTGCTCCTGTCCTCAGCTCTGGAGCTCCATGTCGATCACACAGCGCTACAGGAGCTCTGCCAAGTGCAAGCTGTTTCTGTTGTTCGATTGTTCCCTTTCTATGGCACGGGCAGGGTTTGTTTCACTGCCAGTCTAAGGAGTTAACTGGCAGGTTGACTAACTGAGCTCTCCCACCATAAGAGGTGACATCAATCACCCTGATGGTGGTGACAGTGTCTTCCACATGAATCCAAATGCATTTGCATCACATGAGGTCTATAATTGTTTATTACCAAAGTTATTCATTAGGATTGCAGCCTTAATTAAATTAACGTCTGATTTATTCCAGTCAAATTTGGCCTGACAGGTTGGCACAGCGCAGATTATTGTCCCAGACGGCATGTGTGAAATAAAACACTTAGGCTAATATAGACAGCGGGCACAAAAGCTTGTAACCTAATGATTGTAGGTTCATGTCACAGGAGGTAGCAGTTTTATAGGATATTTGGGTAAGAAGTCATAACCCTATGACAATCTTTAGTAAATGATGAAAACTTCTTTCAATTAAACTGTCAGCTAAACCAATAGATGCAGTGAAGGTGAAAAGTTCTGTACATGGAAGCATGCGCTTTTGTCCAAAGTGACGTACAAGTGAGGATCAGAGAGGAAGTTCAGACCGTTTCCCTGGAGCAATTGGGGGTTAAGGCCCAACCGTAATTTCACTCTGCTATCAACGCCATTTGAACTGACCCTTAGTACGCGATTTTAAGGGCACGTCTTTTCCTAACGACGGACAAGGGAGATGCAAATGTACCGAGCCCAGCGAGAACCTGGGAATCAGGTGACCATAGCATATCTGGCCTTCCAGACAGCTGAACAGTCCATGTGCTTCTCACATTACTATATCCAGTCTGGGTAATGGAATCAGACTCGTCGGTTGAGTCAATGAAAATCAAGGGCAGAGGTAAACCAATATTCCCCTTGGCTCAGGGATGGAATTACAGGTACCACAAAAACTCTACTACCGATGACATCGTTCTCTGTTCATATATAAAAAAAAAATGCTGTAGATGCGTCCTGGCCTGAATACCATAAAGTAGGTCAGGTGAGATGGACGAAAAAGTAGCCGTACTTAACTAGTTTTCTGCTTTGAAGGTGTTTAAAAAATTCTTACTGAAGTACCAACATCATTTATATAAACCATCCATCTTCCAGCTACTTGTGCCAGTCAGGGTTACAGAGGAGCCTGAAGCCTGGCCAAGACGGTGAAAGCCTGGGTGCGAAGCTGATTCATTGCAGGGCAGACACACACATACAAACTATAGGCAATCTTAGGATACCCTTTGGTATAACTTTGATGCTCCACACAGCATGGGAAGAACATGCAAACTCAATAATAATACAGTACCAATCAAATGTTTGGACGCACCTGCCCATAGAAAGGTGCATTTGCACTATTCTCTACATTTTAGAATAATTATAAAGACATCAGCACTGTAAAATAACATATATGGATTGTGTACAGACCAAAAAGTATTAAACAAAAAAATCATTTGTTGGGGGGGGGGTAGCTCTATAGGTTGGGACTCAGAAGGTCGCTGGTTCAAATCCCTGGGTGATCCACCTTTGGGTCCTTGAGCAAGAACCTTAACCCCAATGGCTCCAGGGAATGGCTGGCCCTACTTTCTCTGTTACACCAGGTCCATGAGGTCACCTCCTGGGATGCTTCTCTAGCTGTCCTGTAGGAGGTCCCACACATATGCTGAACACTCATTATCTCATTTTCCTTCACCCTCTGGCCAAACTCCTCCAAAAGTGTCTCTACTGTGTTTAGGTCAGGTGACCAGGTCATGTGATGCGACACTGTGACTCTTATTTTGTAGAGAGCTTGGCATCTCCAAATCTTTTGACTGATATAGTATACCTAGCAAAGGAGGGAGGTAAACCCCTAAGAGCTGCAATGCAGAAGTGCTACCCACTGCTACAAACTGTTAATTATTAAACCAGTTATAATTCATTGTATATATGGATATGAGTCAAAAGGACAGACTGCCTCTCCCAAGCAGCCAGACTGCAGGTGTGTATAGTCTGTGTTCTCACTGTCCCTGCAGACCCCACAGCCCGCCGCACAGCCAAAGCCGGTCCCGCCACCCGAAACCGCTACGCCAGCCAGTGGACACTGAACAGGCCACACCCACCCATCTCCTCCCACACTCTGAGCACGGACTGGAGGCTGCCCACGCCACGGGCCACCGGCTCCGTGGACAAAGAGAGTGACAGCTACAGCGTCAGCCCTTCTCAGGACACAGGTGAACCCCCTCCCCGCCCCCAACAGGCAGATTAACCTGAAGTGACTTAAATGCACCTAACAAGCAGCACTCATATTTGGCAGGATATTTGCACTAAAAGTAATTCAAGTTAGAATACACTGCTCAGGCACAAAAACAGCCTCTCCGGATAGATAAGTGAAAAGTTCCTGAGAACTGGAAATATTCCCCACAAGTCCAAGTCCTTAATTCCTGCTCACCCTCACAATGAAATGCACTCTTATGGTCTTATGGCTGAATGCAGTGTGTTATGTTTCTGAAGGACCTTAGTCTCTGAATACTCCACCATGGGTGGTTGCCTCAATGCCTGTTTTAAATATTTCCTCAAAAACCGTATTATTATCATTATTGTGTGTGCTTTTGGGCAATGTAAATATTACATTGTGGGGACCAAATTACTTTAATGTTGGGTTCAATTCTCACAAGGCGAAGCTCAATTCTATAAAAATCTGACTGCAAAAATCTGACTGTTAATGAATATGCCTCCTGCTCAGACCGTGCGCGGAGCAGCATGGTCTCCACGGAGAGCGCCTCCTCCACCTACGAGGAGCTGGCCCGCGCCTACGAGCACGCCAAGATGGAGGAGCAGCTCCGGCACGCCAAGTTCACCATCACCGAGTGCTTCATCTCCGACACGTCCTCTGAGCAGCTGACCGCCGGCACCAACGAGTACACCGACAGCCTCACCTCCAGCACGCCCTCCGAGTCGGGCATCTGCAGGTTCACGGCGTCCCCACCGAAACCTCAGGATGGGGGCCGGGTCATGAATATGGCCGTCCCCAAGGCACACAGACCGGGTGAGCCTCCCCTCTGTGTCCAGATTAAATAATCCTGCCTAGGGACGATTCTACCATTTTTAAGGTGAGGGGCATAAGGGAGGCCATAATTCTTACAGAGGGAAATCCTTGTCATTAGCCAATGATGTATTTTAGTGACAGGGGAAGGGACACTCCGGGGACCAATCAGCATTCAGCTGTGACCAGTGCCCCTGTGGTCCCACCCTGTACATGCCCCAGATCCTGTCCATAGCCATATTTTCCTTGACTTCTTCATTGTTAAATTGCAGGAAGACTAGGCAAGGAATCGTAGGATATATATTAACATCAATTTTATAACTTATATTTTATCCAAAATATTTATAAATATTACTTAAAAATGTTAAATTAATGCCCTGTATATGTCAGAGTCGGGCCCATCCGACCCTGTCCTGTTCGGTTTTGACCAGCAGGTGGTGTTCCCTCCTCCATCTTTTAGTCCCTTAGCCCTAGTCTGTTTTCCCTTTTCCCCAGACTGGCCCATAGCTCAGTGGGTTGCGTATGGTGTGGTCCTGCATGCGGGAAGCGCTGTCCCCTTGGTTTTTGTTAATGTTCTTTAATAAACCCCTTCTTGTCTTAGAGCCGCTAAGTGGATGGTCACCGTCATTCCTGCCTGCACCATGCCCTGTGTCCTTAGCAATATAGTTTCTGAACGTATTTATAATGTGAGCCAGTCAACTAAGCTGGTGTGTTTTGATATGTTCCAGTCCTGTTTTGTGAGCTCAGCAAAAGCCACGTTGAATTTCTTCCCATTTTATAGCGTCATGTTTGTGTTTGTAAACAGCCCCAAATCCTTGACCACAGGCGCCATCAGAGTAGATAAACTTCCAGCGGTTTTAAACAAGAACTTGCCCATTATTACAGTTACTGAGCCAGTGTGCTTTGAAAATCAGCTACCCGTTTCCCAGTGTCACCTTGTCTGTCTTCACGTCCTCTGCCAACTCCTCTGAAAGCAGCCCGTCGAAAGACTGGCCCGCAGGGTACACCAAAGAGGGCCACCAGACTGCCATCTTTGGCTACAGGGGACATTGAAGACTAGGCGATGTTGCAGTGTGAGATTGGTAGGAAAGGCGAGAAGATAGGCTTGGGTTTCGGGCTTTGTTGTGACTTTATGATACAAGAACCAGACTGGACAGGACATGATGAGGGCAAACAGAGGCTACGGTGACATCATCTAGTGGCATTGTCTGATTATACAACACAGTGCTTTAAGGCCACAAAAGGACTGCCTAAGGTCAAAATAAGGTCAGTGGCTGCTTCCTGTTCGCCCTGTGCCCAACTGAGATTGACTGTAAGCCAGCCCTGAGTATACAGAAAACGGGCCCGCTCTCGGTTATATGACATCTGAGCAGAGGTGGACATTTCAGGTCCAGAAAGTTAAAATCCAAACCAGGATTTTGTTTCAACCAACCAGTTGAGTATAAGGAGTCACAGTCACAGTGTACTCAAAAATTTACTTTCTGGACCTGAAATGTCCACCTCTGCATCTGACCGCCCCTGCCTCAGGTTTACAAAGGCACGAGGGGAGTGGGATCAGTATGATATTTGTGTCAGAACATTGATGAGTGAGGTACGTTTAGCTGAATTCTCCCCAAACGAGCTTGATGGGCTGAATGGCCTCCTCTCGTTTGTGAATATCTTATGTTCTTAATGGATGACTAGAGAACTGGAGCCCTGGCGATCTGATTGGCTGTTCCCCAGTGTGACCTCAGAAAATTAATTTAATATTAAATTAAATTAAGTATATTTTTATTTAAATAAATCACTCATGAACCCCACAACCATGTACTGAATAAAGGAATGGATGGATTGATGGACTCATATATGTATATTAAATACCGTAATAACAGAACAGAACTAGGAACGTAATCACAAAGATTTTAAGCAAGGGCGTAGATTTGAGTATGGGCGATAGGGACACGTCCCTACCATTATGGTGGGAATATTGTGTGTGTTTAGTGGGGGGGGGGGCATTCAGTGATGATTTGCTTCCTACCAGTGCTGAACCCAAACCTACTCCCTTGACCTTAAGCACGCTCTGTTGTCCCAGTTTGGGGGGCAATTTTTTTGGAAAATTGGAATAACGTGCAGTGTTCCTAAAACCCCCAGAATCTAAGGTTCGCCATCATCCTCCCTGAGGTACGTGACTCAGTCAATTTGACAGATGAAGAAGCTACTAGCAGAAAAACCCAACATCTATATTTAACTCAATTAAAGATGGGCATAATTAATCAATTAGACTGCTTTAATAATTCCTATTAAAGGTAACGTAAATTATTTAATTTGTTAATCTGGAATCAATAATTCAGTGGCCAAAGTCACATATAGGACAAGATCTACTGAGATGAATGGTTAGTGTAAAGGATCATCTGGATTTGGGATTCCTCGTTTTGTGCAGCAGAAAAGTACAGTTTGATCGTTGATTCATCCCATAAACAGATTCATGAAAATGCTGGGTGTATCTCTTTAAGAACATGCTCCTCTGTGTGAGGCTGGCAACTGGTCATTAGTTTGACAAATTGCATCTCCAGTCCCTGAGACTTGTGTTTTGAGGAAGCTGCCGAAATTGGGTTCTCTAGAAGACATGCCGGACGTTCAGTTGGAAGTTCCTCGTTAACAGCTTGCATCATGAAATTGTTGATTTGTTTTTTGTAGCAAAACCTCACAGAATAAATGGAAAAAGGGAACAATGCAGAGGAATGATAAAAGCACAATTTAACTGAAATAACTGAAATAATTGTTGGTAGACCACCCATTTCAACTGGCCAAGTAAGCAGAGATCCTAATAAGCAATCTGGTGACCGAGCGTGATGCTTGAAAAGTAATGGTGCAGAAGTACTAGAAGTTTACCTTTTAATTTGTCCTTGTTATTTTCTCCCTTGCCCTGCAGGAGGCGAGCTGGTTCACCTGCCCCCATATCTCCGGATGGACTTCCTCCTAAACCGTGGGCTCCCAGCATCCGGGCGCGAGGCAGCCATGGGCCAAGCCTGCCTGGAGCCTCAGAAGAGCCGCACGCTGAAGCGGCCGGCCCTGCTGGAGCCCACTTCGACTGAGGCGGGGGCGGCGGCGGGGGCGAGTAGCCGTGAGGTGCAGCAATGGCAGCCCGGGACTGCCTCCACGCTGCCGCAGCGGGAGGGGGGCGACCTGGCCCAGGCCGCCAAAATGAGCAGCTCCCAGGAATCACTATTGGACTCAAGAGGACACCTGAAACAGAGCAGCAACCCTTACGCAAAATCTTATACCTTGGTATAACACAGAGCACGGACAGGACTACAGACACGAGAGCTCTGTCGAGAAAAAGGAAGACAAAAAAAAACAAACAAAAAAACACACGCACACAAACGCGGACTATTGAAAACAGAAGCTGTATATATTTCTGACTCCAAATGGATGGTTAACTTTCTTTCTTACGCATTCCTTCCTTTCTTTACCTCTGTCCTTTCTGTTTTCTTTTCTACTTGAGTATTTGTTTATTTTAAAACACTTCACGTGAAGATTGCCAAAATAATTTATTTAAAAGTCGAAAGAGAAAAATAATATTGGAATTATTATAATGATGGTGATGACGACGATGATTATTATACAGAAACAAAAGAAACGTGTGAAAAAGAGAAGAAGAGGAAACTGGACCATTTGGTAGGACAACTGCTTTTTTTTGGTCTGAGTGAGATGCTCTGGGTAACAACCAGATTTTCTATCAAGACAAGTCTTCACGTGACATGAGGCATTTGTACGAGCAAGAAGAAGTTCCACTAACGCAAGATAAGCCGCCCTACTTGTCCAGTCTTCTCAGATTGTTGAGTCTTTTAATCAATTTCCTATGATTGCATGGGAACTGGCGAAGGTGATGGCTGGAAATCCCACTGAGAATTTTGTCACATTATGAAATTATAAAATGTGAAGATTTATTATATATATAAATATATATATGAATATATATAAAAGAAATCAATTTATTTGTGGATATTACAGGGAAAAAAATTTGATTTGGTTAATAAAGTCCTTAGTCTTGTTTGCACAAATCTGGTTTTAATTAGGAAATGGAGGCAACTGGTGGTTATTTAGCAGTGCCCCCCTCCCCCAAACGGAAACAGAGCAGGCGGCCGCGTGATCGGACCGAGGTCATGAGCACGCACCGGCGCGCAGACGTTCTGCAATAATTTATCCAGGTGTTAATGGTTTATGCACAGGTCACCCACTTGGTAAGTGGCGTTTCTTTCTGCGTGGGTGCCGCTCGCGTGCACTGGCGTTCCTTTCAAGACCAAAGAAGCACCTCGACTTTGTCGACCACTCGCGGTCAAGCCAGCAGTAAGTCAGGTGGGGTTGGGGGGGTGATGTCAGTTCCCCCCGTCTTTTAACGTCACTGCGTCGCGACGCCTCTCCTCTGTCTTGGCGGAAACTGTGACAATCCAGCGAATATGTCCTCCACCCCTGCCCAATACCATACCCCAAAAATCCTAACTGCAACTATACTCCAACTGTCATCGCTGTCATGCACAACCAGCCCTTCCCTTGCAGAAGACAGGTGAACACCTGAGGGTAGACGATGGCACGATCATAAACGTTTTTTAATGGAGTTGTTCTATGAGAAGTTTTCGAGATGAGCCCAGCAAGAACCGTGGTATCTATCACGCTGTGGTTCCCTTTTGAAAAAGCTCTCTCGTCCCATCGACGGACGCGGTAGTTAAATCTCAGCCAACAGATGGCGCCATGTGGTTATCAGAAGTGTTATTTTTTGCAGCGTGAATGTCAAGGAGATGCGTTAACACTCTGCGTTGAAGCGAAACCATGACAATCTTAAAGGGAGGATCCGGAACAGTGATAATGACGCTGTTTCTGGCTGTGACCGTACAGAAAGAACTGAGTTGTTATTCAGCATTGAGATAAGATAATGTCAGAGATCAGTTGATTACTTTTGCACTGGCCTCTTACTGCCTGCAGAGGGCAGTGTGACAGAATAATGAAACTTGTCACTACACTGGCCTTTCACTATGCCTGAAGAAGAGGCTGAAATCGTTGAATATGCCTCGGTGGAATGCTAAGAATGTTGTTTTGGTGCAATACTAGGCCCTTTGTTCCTTTACCAAACATGATGTGTGTGCACACATTAAGTGTAACGTTCCACAGAAAACAAGAAGCTCTACCCACGAATATCACCATGTAGAGCATTAAAAAATCAGCAGACACTTTGTATTCATAATCTGTATTGTGTTTTAAAACTTGAAGATGTTTTAAGATCCAGTGCGTTTTCTCCTTTTCCGATATACATTAAGTGTGTTGGTGTGTATATGTATGCACACATATTAAAACATTCAGCATTACCTGACATTTGGCTACTCCAAGAGGGAAGACACTTTTCTGAATGATTTTCAAAGTTAAAGGCAGAGAGGGAGACAGCAATTTGCCATTCCATGATGGCAACAATGTTCTAAAATGTGTCTCCTTTGCCATCGCTGTAGCAGGATTCCAGTTTGGGTATTTTACAGGCATACTGGTGGACCGCCTTCAGTTTTTGTCAGGATGGAATGAAATTTGAAAAAGCAGGGGCACCAACAATAAAATGTTTTCTTTTTTTTTGTCTTTGCTCCACTTATCCTGAAAGGAGGTGTGTACCACACTACTGGATGTGAAGGGTCATTCTCCGAGTAAAACGTAACCTGCAAATGTGAGGCGTCTCTGATTATCGGAGACCCCACATGGAGACCCCACAAATGATATGCATTCAATTGAAGGTAAAGGGGTCTCACCATTATCCAACATGTCTGTCGTACACCAACCCCCTCATGATTGCAGTGGGAGTGAAGATCTTGTTCCACATCTAACAGGAACACAGCTAGCCTGTCTAGAAGTGGCACTGGTGAGCGAATTGAGCGTGCTGACATAAATAGCAGCCCTTTGCACAATGATGTGACTTAACGTCGTTTAATAATCGCAATGTTAGGTCATTAACTACAAATTAGAAAAACGGCATGTAATTCACTGAGATGATGCACATTTAATGTGAGATCAGCAGTCTCCCTATATACTGACAGGGACAATCCAAATGGGACAATATACTAGGTGTATTTTAACCCCCAGTTAGCTAAAAGTGAGCACCCCTAGGATTAGCACTTTGTTTTTATAACCTGCCCGTGGACAAAAAAATACCCATCGGCAGAAATGGTGGATTTCCCCATTTTCCACGGTTCCTAAATCACTCTATTGATTCCTGAACTCTTGGAATGTCAGGAAATTGCTCCTGTGAACCTTTATCTCCAATATGGGGTTAGGCCAGTGGTGGGGTGGCAAGGATTTATTTCATATATATATATAACTGTATTTACTACCCCCCCCCTCCCCCCAACTGAAGCACACAACAAGGTAGGCTGGTGTTTGAGATTTACACTCTGCCTCTCTTGCGTTATTAACCGCCATCATAAATAAACTTTTGCGCTCTCTCATCTGCTCTGCAAAATAAAGATGCCCCCCCCCCCCCCCCCAACCCTGCCGGCTGCCCCACCCCCACTGCAAACTGCACTGGTTAACAGACAGGCATCTCTCCTTTTCCCATTAATTAGCTTGCTATTAATCGCTATCACATTTCCTGCAAGTTTTATGGCCACGTATGCACAGGGGAGCCTGCGATTCCCTCCAAGAGGATGGGAACCCGACGTGGACCCCAGTACCTTTCCTGTCTATAATCGCTTGTAATATTAGACGTGGGATAACAGAACCCTTCGTGACACTAGATCCCACATTTTCCGCCATTTTTGTCTTTTATTTGCAATTCTTTTGTACATTTCTGCAAAACTCAAGTGCTCTACCTGTTTTTTTTTTCACTTGTTTTCATCCACTGTAAAGTCTCATTTCCATTCCTTGCATAGACATTATTGTGACAAAGGGACCGCTTGAAGGAGTGAATGTCAATGAGCGCGTTACAGTGGGAGGGGGTGGGTGGGGGCGGGCCGGGGATGGGGCTTGGTGGGGGTGTAAGTAGGCCACTCTACCCGTGGAGTCGGTAAAATAGTTTTTTAGTTTGCCTGCTGTGGGACAAGGTTGTCATCTCTCTTATGTTCCATTCTTTCATACATGTTGATTCTGTTATTTTACTGTACGGATACTTTCTATTCAGTAGAATTCCATTTGGAAACAAAGGGGCTACTGATTGTTTCCATTTGAGACATGCATTAAGTTACATCGTTCATAACGGAATTACAACAGAATGTTGAGTGTATACATTGTGTTCTGAATATTTCAGTCTCATGTTTTAGACACTTCTCTTGGGATTCTGAGTTTACTCTCCGGACACTTAAATCAAAGGAAATGTTTTAAATACTGCTCAAAAGGTTAAAAAAAGAGAAAAAAAAAGAAAAAAAAACAAATTTTAAGGAACATATTTATATACAGTAGCAAACCAACTTTGTTGTTGAAATAATAATAAAGAAAATTCCTAAAATAACATTGTGTGAATTAGTCATGGTTTCTGTCACATCATTGTGGTCATGATTCATTATAATAAAACACTCGTTCTGCTTTTTCAGTCATCTATTAGAAGCCTTCAATTTTTTATATTTTTATAAGCATATTCATATACACTATGTCACATGATACAAGACAAAGGGCTCAAAAGCAGGCGTTTCCTGAACAAAAACGAGTTTATTGAACTGAACAGGAGCAGGGAAATAAACAAGACTGTAAGGGGACAAAACAAGAAGTCGAGTACAGGGAAAGACACAGGCATGGAGGACGAACCAAGGAGACCGAATGCAAGAGTGGACACACAGAACCAGGACAGGACACTGGACAGGACAGGACAGGGCACAGCAGGACCGACAGGATACATGGGACAGACACCACACAAAACCATAGGGGTTGAGACAACAGACAGGTCAGGACAGGACATATGGCACAAAAATGGACAAGGAACAGACAGGGGCCAGACCAGGTATCAACAGGACAACAGACAACAATGAGGAGCAGCGAGCAGGAGAGACTGAGACAGACTGAACACACCACACCTCAGAACACCAGATGGACAAAACCCAGGACATGAGACAAGACACATGACACAACTAGGGGCATAGAAGAGAGCAAGGCAAAACCAGGGACAGCTGAGAGAACATCCAACAAGACACAAACCAGGACTGAGCAGACAAGTAGAGAAACCACAAGGACAGGGATGGAAACACAGGAGAGGATCACAGGGGACACAGGCTAGGACATAACCAAGGCAGAACGGGGACCCAGAACCGGGAACAAGGCATGACCAGAAGGAACAAGGAATGTCCGGAAAGTCTCCCCGGGAAACTGGGAGGTGACCCTGGGATGCAAACCCAACTAAGCCTGTTCATAGGCAAGGTAGGGTCCATTCAGACCACAGGACCTAAGGACCTCGGAAGGCCAGCAAAGATGGATGGTGCCAAGGGACTAGCGGGGCAGGAGCAGGAGGGCAAAGAGGGAACAGTGTAGCTGGAACAGGATGGTGCTGAAGGAACTGTGGCGCAGGAACAGGAGAGTGCCGAGGAAATTCTCCCTCAAGCCTCAACAGGAGAGTCACCCAGGCGGGCAACATGAGGCAAATGAGAATCGGGGTGACTGGCATGGATATTGTACCCTCATCTCCCTCTCTGGGAGATGCAGACTCAGCTATCCCCTTTTTGGGGCCCCAGCTGACACTGCTGACTGCACTGGGACCTACTGTAGAATTGGGTGGGTGCAGACTTCGGGCTAAGGTAGTAGTCACAGAGAGGGACTTAGGGCAAGGCCCAGGCGGTCCTGTTCTAAGTCTTCCAGTGAGGCATCTTCCAGGTTGACCCAACCTGGTCTGGCAGAAACCAGGGCGTCAGGCATGGGCCGGGGACTGATCTGCAGGGGACAAGGAGGCCATCAAGGTGATCACAAGAGGCTGCAAAGCGGGCGCCAAGACAATAACAGGAGACAATGAGGCATGTGTCGACAGGATGCCAGGAGGCAACAAGGTGGATGCCAACGGGACACCAGGAGATGAAGAGGCAAGAGCCAACAAGACGACAGGAGATGATGAGGCATTAGCTGATGGGACAACAGGAGAGACGACGAGGCAGGAGTCAAGTGGACATCAGGAGGCAAGCAGAGCATAGCCAGGACACCTGGAGGCAAGTAGGGCATAGCCAGGACACCTGGCGAGACCACTGGGGTTCTCTGCAGGATGGCACAGCTGCTACGAGACCGGGTGCAGGCAATGTGGTCCCTCTTGGGCCAGAAGCCGGGGACTCAGGAGGAGCAGCCTTCTTTGAACCAGGAGCCTCAATGGAGTGATGATCCACTGAGCAGTCAAATGCTTGACTATCCTCTGCATGTTGGTCAGTAAGCGCTGCAGTGAGGCGTGGGCTGAGTGGCTTCATGCCGTGGGGACACAGCGAGCAGAGCAGCTTCACGCTACAGGGAGAAGACGTGCTGAGTGGTCTCATGCTGCAGAAAGGCGGCAGACTGAGCACCTGCATGCTGCGGAAATGCTGCGGGCTGAGCGCCCTCACACTGTGGAGAGGTGGCAGGTTGAGCGGCTTCACGCAGTCAAGAGACAGCACGCTGAGCGGTCTTATACTCAACTACCCCCCGCATGTTGGTCAGTAAGCACTGAGCCTTCTTTGCCTTCTGGAGATCTGTGTCTGGGTTGAGTCTTACCAGCACCTTCCCCACTTCTCAGAAGAGAGCCGCCGACTCAGGGATCCTCTAGACCGTGGGATTAATCCTCCACTCCAGATGGGCATCCAGGAGCGATACAAAATCCGCTGCTTGAAGACAGGGTGCCTCCCGCGGTGCCGGAAACCCCTTTGGTCCTCATATCCAAGGCAGATCCAATCCATTTGTTAAAATATGCCTACCATCTAATAGCTTTGTTATTCTTAGTAAATGCATGGATAGGCTATATTTGTGCAATATGCTGTTTTCTTCTTGGACAAGAACAAAGTCATATATTTGGTGGGAAAGTACACAATCCTGGAACAACACTGGCTGGCGACAGAAGTTTAGAATGAGCAGGGAAACTTTCCTCTACATCTTCCAGATATTAAAACCTGTCCTACAGAAGTGGGGAACACGCTATCAAAAACCCTTGTCCGTAGAATATCGTGTAGCAGTGACATTATAGAGACTCTCCACCTTCATTGAATCTCTCACTCTTTCTGATCTCTTTGGCATAAGAATTTCTACTGCCTGCATGATAACTAGAGATGTAGATAAGGCCATTTGTACAGTTATACAGCCAAAATATACTGAAGTCTCAACAGGTAATAACTTGAGGGATGTGGTGAATGGTTTCAGAGACAGATGGCACTCTTGATAGCACTCATGTACCCGTCATAGCCCCACATATTTCTGAAGCAGACTTCCAAAATAAGGGTCATTATTCTGTCTTACTCTAGGTTAAACTTGACCACAAGCTCAAGTTTTGGGACATTAATGTGGAGTTACCGAGAAAAATTTATGATGCAAGGGTGTTTGCAAATTCCTTGCTTTTCCGTAAAGGGTTGTGTGGGAGGTTTCTTCCTCCATGAATTGAGGATCTCCAGAGGGTTTCTATACTTTTATGAATCATAGTTGATTCCACATATCTGTTGCCATGGATTCAGAAACCATATCCAGAAGGGCAAGGGATGACAGGGGGAAGACGACAGTACAGTACAGTTGAAGGGGCTTTTGGAAGGCATAAGGCTTGTTGGTGTCGCTTCCTTAAACGGAATGACTACAGTATCAGCATCATAAACCAAGTGATTGCAGCATGCTGAATACTATTCAACATTTCTGAGCACAGAGGAGAGGGACTGGAGCCTCACCTGCTGGAGAATGTGGGGGACGATGGGGTAGATATGCAACAGGTACTGGCATGTACAGTCGTGGTCAAAAGGTTTGTGTTTCGCACGCTTTGCTGCTTCAGCATTTTTAGATAATTCTTTTACGTGTTTCTGTGATATACTGAAGAATGATTATAAACATTTCACAACTTTCAAAGGCTTTCCTTGGCAAATACATCAAATTTATTCAAAGAGTCAATATTTATACTGTTGACTCTTCCTCATAACTTCTGCAATTCACTTTGGCATGCTGGATATCAGCTTCTGGGCCAAATCCTGACTGATCGTGATCCATTCTTGCCTTGTTAGTGCTCAGAGTTGATCACAATTTGTGGGTTTCTGCTTGTCCATCCCCTTTTTGAGGATTAACCACAGGTTCTCAAAGGAGTTTAGATCTGGGGAGTTTCCTGGCCAGGGATCCAAAATTTCAGTGTTATGATCTCTGAGCCACTTCAGTACTTTATATTCATTTCTGGTAAGAAATCATGTAAAAGTAAAGTCAGCTCACTAATGAGAGCTAGCAAATTAGCAAAAATACCTATTTCATCATCACGGAAGTCAACACTGCCTCCCTCAATGACATCAAGTGGGCTAGCACAGCGTGATGTCCCCAAGATGGTATCCAGCTCATCATAAAACAAGCACTTGA